AAAGGATACAGTGTTATTTTCTAATATCAGTTTTATATAAAATTACAGACACAGAGTCAAGTGTTTCATTTAAAGGTGACCATTACTGTTGCTGATACTTTCCCCTTTTTATACCCACCATCAGAAAGATGGGGGTATATTGTTTTTGTCACTCCATTTGTAACACATCGAAAAATTGGTCATAGACCCACAAAAGTATATATGTATATTCAGGGTACTTATTAAATTCGAAGCCACGTCCGTCCGTCTGTCTGTTGAAATCACGATAGGGACTACACGTTGAAATTTTTCATAAATATTCTATATTTTGATAAGATTTGTTTGGTATTGAAAATGGGCAATATTGATCCACGTTTTCCGATAGCCCGCATACAAGTGGACCGCCGAAAAACAGCTTTAACGGGTATAACTGCTTTAAAAAAACGACTATAGCGATGAACATAAATAAGTTTCATAAGAGCAAAAATCTCTCTACTAAATTTTATGAGGATCGGTCCATAATTAACCCTACCCCCGATATAAGGTCCCCTTCAAAAAATGACTATAACGTTCATTGCTGTTATAAAATTACGAATATTGCGATGAAATTGGACACACCTCAGTTTTTTGCTAGCCAAAATCTCTCTACGCAGTTTTTGGGGGATCGGCCCATAAATTACCTTACACCCCATATAAGGTCCCCTTCTTATTAGTGACTTAAAAATACGAGTACGAATCCAAAATCTCTCTACCAAATTCTATGTGGATCGGTCCATAATTTTGACCCTACTCCCAATATAAGGTCCCCTTCAGAAAATTACTTTAACGCTCATTATTGACTTTAAAATACGAGTATAGCGTTGAAATTTGACACAACTAAGCTTCCAAGTTTTATGTGGGTCGATCCATAATTGACCCAACCTCCCATATAAGTTCCCCTGCAGAAAATTACTTTAACGCTAATAACTGGAATAAAAATGCGAGTACTGGGATGATATTCGATGTAAATAAGTTATATATGAACCAAAATCGGTCTCCAGTTATGAGGATCGCTCAATGATTTACTCTACACCTCATATAAGGTACTCTTCAGTTAATTTGATGAGAATTCAATAAATTACGAGTACAGTGATGAAAATCGACATAAAAAAGTTTATACTTAGAAACAAAATTCTTCATTTCGAATTTAATGACCCTATACCCTATATAAGGTTCCCTTCAGGAAAGGGTTTTGCTTATTCCTTATTTAAAAATACGAGTATAGCGATGAAATGCGACATACACAAGTTCCATACAAATCAAATTTTATGAGCGGTTCATTATTGAAAAAAAAAAAATTACTCTTACGCTCATGACTGAATTGAAATTACTAATACAGCGATGAAATTCGAAACAAGTAAGTAATAAACGAACTGAAAACTTTCTATAAAATTTAACGGCAATCGGACCATAATTGACCCTACTGTTCAAGGTTTAGAAATTTAACAAAAATATTTTGTTTTCAAAAATAAATATTTTGTTAAGTCGGTCCATAATTGACTGATGCCATATTCCCTGATGTTTATAGAGGAGCATTCCTTTTACGGCCTACGGTTTGATGGTGGTTATATGATATTCAGCACAGCCGAATATAACTCTCTCACTTGTTTCTTTTACAAAATCATTTCTAAAGATTTATTAAGGATTCAATAATGCAAAATATTCCCATAAAAATATGTTCACTATTTTTTCTTAATTTCATTTTTATTTTCAATAGAGCATTTAGATATTTTCTAGTAGACACAGAAAGGCAGACAGACTTTTCTTTCAATCTGTCATTTATTCAGTTAGTTAGTTTTGTCTGTAAGTATTTACAATCTGCATACATTTTTAATACGACTATATGTAGTACTACTACAGTTCATAAAATGTACAGTGGGTTAATGTATGCTAAATAGATTCAAATTTTATGTATCGTCATTTAAGATCTACAGCAATAGCTACAAAAACAACAAGAGAAACACAAACATAATTTGCTCATTGCCAATGAAAATACACACATACAACAAATACATTTTGAAAGCAAAAAGGGGGGGAACTATGTATATGAAAAGTAAAAATTTATTACAATTTCATAACATGGGTCACTTCACCACTCACTAGTCCACTCATTCCTTGTTTGGTTGGTTTGGTCGGTCAACAATTTTTGTTTGTTTATGATTATTTATTTTGGGTTCTTGTTGTTGTTTGGGTTTTAGTAGTTAACAATCTTTTTAAATGTTTTAGTTTCTTAATGTCTCTTTGCATTATTAAGTTATTAAAATGCCATTGACTTGATTATTTAATTTTAACCCTTATATTGTCTTTAAAGTTATTTCATTATTTTTGAAATTTATTTTAGTTTTTTATTAAAAATGCAGTTTTCTGCTTTTATGTTTACCTTTTAAAAATACCTTTATATAGGAACTTCCGTTATGAATTAAATTAACATATCCGTCGGGATTTTGGATTATCGTTTGTTTATTTAAATTAAAAGAAAAAACATTTAAAACTATTTAGTGAATTACATGGTACATTAAATAAGTTTCTAAAGAAAATTTTAATGAAATAATACAAATAAGAAAGTTTTAACATTAATCCAATAAATTTAGAAAAAAGTAAATTAAGGGGGAAAATACTTATATAATAACATCTTCAAAGTGAAGTTCATAAACACAAGATCAAAATATTGGGGGGTTTAGAAAGTGGTCGAACGTCCGTCCGTCTGACTTTTCGAAAAAAAGCTAAACGTGATAGGACCTAAACGATGGCACCTCCTGATGTGGATTTTGAATACAAACTTCCATTTGGAGAGAGAATTGTTGTGAATACTATTATCTTCATTCTATATACAAACGAACTAAATGTTTAGCATTTTTAACGGTTTTTTGAAATTGTTAGTTTCTTTAAATTCCACTATAAATACACTTAATTTTAATAGGAAAGCATCCGCAAATCCTTCCATAGACAAAAAAACGTAACTCGCTACCTTATGTGGCCATCAAATTACTCTACAGTAGAAATTCTATAAAGCCATCAATTTATAATGACTTAAAAAGATCTAACTTTTAAACAGATTACAACTGATTTACTAAGAAAATAACGTATAAAAAAATTCTAGTAAACTCCTAGATAATGTCTAGACAAAAAGACTTAATTCATATTAAAATATTCCCAAACATCATTTGAAATACGAGTAAATGCAAAAAAAAAAAATAAATAAAAAAAAAAAAATAAAAATCACCTTTAAGGTATTTCTTAACATTTTGGTAGTTTAATTTTATGGAAAATAAATTCTTTCTACCAAATAAGTTATAATTTCAGCAAACTCATAGAAATGGACAGAGCAATACAAAAACAAACAAATAAAAAAAAAAAATAAAGTAATAATTTAAGAAAATTCATTTTTCAAATGAAAATGTTTATCTGTTAAAGCAGCAAACCAATAAAGTGGAAATCGTACTTATGTACGTATAAAATATACAAACAGACTAATGAGATGCGAATCTTTTTCTTTTATACATATAGTTATTTTTTTAGTCAAAATGAAAATAACCATTGGCCATACTCCACCCTCAAAGTGATAAAACTATATAAGAGATATAGAATGGAGATGTAGAAAAATAAACACATATTTACTATAATATACATTTTTTTCTATTTTTCATATAAATTTTGTGAATTTCATTTAACTGAAAGCTTTTTAACACACTGAAAATTATGCGATCCTTGAAGCATATTTCTACAATAACACAAACAGCCACTATATGGACAGACATATGTATGTGTGTATGTACTTCTTACTTTTATGATGCGAGTACGTATGAGTAGCCAAGGATGACTTTTCAACAAGCCATTATCAATGACCACAAACAACAAATAAACTTTAACGAAAATTGTTTGGAAATCATAGATACATAATCATGCCACAAACCACAATAACACACAGCAATCATGAAATACAGTGGGTAACAATAGTAACTGTGATACTTTTATAAAGCAGTATTTGAGTTTTACTTGTTAAAGCTTCACAATAATATTGACAAAAGCTTTTAAAAACTCATTTAGTGGATGCAGCTTATTTTTGGTGAATTTAGTTGCAAAAATAGGTCAATTGCCAAAAATTCTAGTTTCTGTATTGATGTGTTCTAGTGAAAGAGCTTTCCTGGCGAAAAAACTTTTCTAGTGATAAGAGCTTTTCTAGTGAAAATAGCCTTTCTAGTGAAAAGAACTTTTCTTGCGAAAAAGCCTTTCTAGTGAAAAGAGCTTTCCTAGTGAAAAAACTTTTCTAGTGAAAAGAGCTTTTCTAGTGATAAGAGCTTTTCTAGTGAAAATAGCCTTTCTAGTGAAAAGAGCTTTTCTTGTGAAAAAACCTTTCTAGTAAAAAGATCTTTCTTAGTGAAAAGAGCTTTTCTAGTGAAAAACACTTTTCTAGTTAAAGAGCTTTTCTAGTGAAAAAAACTTTTCTAGAGATAAGAGTTTTTCTAATGGAAAAAAATCTTTCTAGTGAATAGAGCATTCCTAGTAAAAAAGCCTTTCTAGTGAAAACAGTTTTTATTTTCAAAAGGGCATTTTTTTAAAATGCTTTTATTCAATAAAAAAATTTCTTTCTAATTAAGAGAGCTTTCCTTAAGAAAAAACTTTCATGTACGTAAACATTTCTTTATGTTAACATGAAAGCATTTTTAAGAAAGTTTTTTTTTTTAAGAAAAGGACTTGTAAAATTGTGTTCCTGTTAATAGAGCTTTTTTAAAGCACAAGTAAAGTAACAGCCACATTATTTTCTTTACAACTTTTTATCGTCCACTGTTTCAAACGCCTTTAATTTACTAACTTTATTCAATGTATGGATGTATATGGGACTGTGTAAACAGTAGAAGTATGTGTTAAACTTAATAAAAAAAAATGAAATTTTATATTAAATTTTTCCTTTATTCTTTTGATTATTGTAGAAAGAAAAACAACATTTAAACAGTGACTCTATTATCATTCTCATCTTCATCATTATCGTCGGGAGGGTACTCGTGGCAGCAGCCAGTATTACAATTCGTAGCATCATTTCATATGAAGAACAAACAAATATTTACCAAAAAATATACAGGGACAAAGGATGGTGGACTAAAGTTTTCTCCAAAACGATTGAGTGCATTTATGTATATGTGAGTCTGAGTGTTTGATTTTTATATTAAAAAAACAAACAAACTTATATGAATTTTCGTAAAGTATCGTTGTAGAAGTTGGAGTTGGAGTAAATATGTATGTATGTGTGTGTATTATGATGATGATTCTAGCTGGACTCATGCATTATTCAATAGAATTTCTAAATGATTATTCTTTATGTGACTGTTTATTTCTTTTGGCCATTTATTCATTTCTTTGCTGTTTTTTTTGTTCTTTGTGTTGGCGATTTTTCGTTTTGTTCATATATTTATTTTTATTTTGGTTGTTTTTTTTTTTTTGATATCAATAGCGAGTTTCCACATGCTTGACTTCACAATGATGTCGAGAACCATCAACATCATAAAGATGACCAGCAGCTTTAACAGATCTAGTGACGCATAACGAACCCAGCACTAACTGACCGCCAGCCATGGATCCACAAAATATTTTTATTTTATTTAACAAATTCACATATGAAAGCATCTCTTTTTCCCTTTTATTTTTAGTTTTATATATAAAAAATAAATGTATTTTTTTGTTTTTGGCTAAATAGTTGTGTGTATGTGAAAATCTGTGTTGTTTTTTTTTTTGCTTGAACCATTCAGAGTAAGTTTATTTTGCCAATGATAGAAAGAAATAAACTCCACCCATAAATATACATGAATCCGTTGGTTTCCTTTTTATCTCTGCCACTCCCTTGTCCCTCGTTATTTATTCCTTTTGGCAGTTGAATTCGATTGCCATATTATCATTGGATTTTATTTTTATTGTATTTTTAGTTGCGGTCAATATGGTCGAAATATTACGAAAAAAAATAAATACATTTTATTTGTTTTTTTCTCTCAATTGAATAAAATGTTCTTTTAATGTTGTGCTAAAAATTTCATCTTTTAATTTTTTTCTTTGGGGACTTTTACAATTTTGACAATTCAACCACATATTGCAGTTCGATTTGGAAGGGATGTATTTTAGAAGGGATGTATTTAAAGTGGTTTCATAATATGTGACTTAATTAAATAAAATTACATTTTCAATATGTTGTATGCTTTAGAATCTGATGATAGATCTAATATTAAGGGTAATAAGAGTTCCCAATTAAAGTTTCAAATATTTTTTTTAGATCTACATATACATACATATCGCATTATTTAATTTTATAGTAATTTAAATAAAAATTTTCATTAGTACGAAAAAAAAAAACGTGTTCAACTTATCACCTTATTTAAGTAAGTCTATTTACTCGTCTGGATTTTAATCAGAGTGGAAATTGTAAAAACCTTTATTAAGTCCAAATAAATACAGAAATATAATTGAGTTTTTGTTGTAAATCTGCTTAGTACACGAATTCACACAATTGCATCATGATGTCTCGTCAGAAAAATGTGCTGACCCAAAGTGAAATATTTTTTCATAATTTCAATATATAAACAAATATTATCAGCTATTAACCTATTGTTGGCGAAACTTTCAATTTCATTTTTAGGCTTAACAATTCGTGGCAGTATTAATAAAATATTATTATATAGTAATTAGTTTGTCTCCGGTGTGTAATCGCGTGGTCATGGGCTCGAATTCCACCAGCGACACTTGTACAAGGGCGTACAACAGACCCTATGGAGGCTTTGGTGTATTTCTTCGGATTTGATGTAAAATACATACTCATTTCAAACTAACTAACTTAATAGTGTTTTGCAATAATGATCTCTAGTTACATTACAAACTTATTTTAATAAAATTAATGTTATTAATCAAGGTAAATACATAGAATTAGAACAAAATTATAATTTAATCAAATCAAATTAAAGCCCACCAGCATGAATGTCTCATGTTCGTTACATCTGCTTAAAATGGGTTAAACATTTTTCAGTCATAAGCAATTTTTATTTGGCACGATCATAATAACACTTCCTAGCGACGTGTTCTATTTTTAGAATTCAACTGAGAGGGTGTAGCGAGATTTTCAAAGAATTACTTCCGATATATAACGAAATATATTTTACTACTCAAACAGCTAAATTTTATGATGACGGTTAATCTGAAATTATAATAAAAATAACTCCAACTCATATATATTAAAACAAGTGAGAGTGTTATATTCGGCTGAGCCGAATCTCACATACCCACGATGAAACCGTATGTCGTAAAAGGAATGCTTCCCTATAAACATCAGGTGGTATTACTCATCAAATTAACTGAAGAGGACTTTATATGAGAGATAGGTTAATTATTAGCCGATTTTTATAAAATTTTTCATATTTTTTTTAGACCGATTTTGGTTTGTTTTATTGAATATCACTTTCCCACACTTTCCGCATGAAATTCGGAAGTCAGCAATAATCGTTAAAGTAATTTTCTTATGAACCGATCCTCAATGAAATGATTTTAACTCGTATAAAACATATGTGCGCCTTAGAATTTAATATGGACCCAGAATATATATACTTTTGTGGGTCTATAGCCAATATTTCGATGTGTTACAAACGGAATGACAAAATCAATATACCCCCCATCTTTTTTGATGGTGGGTATAAAAATATATTAAAATAAAATTTAAAACAACAAAAAATTATAAGAAAGTACCATATAAAAAAAAAGTAAGAATTTATAGTTGGGCAAGGCCGACCATATGGTATCCTTCACGGGTACGGTTGTATGGAGACTATGCGAAATAATGGACCATTTTCAATAGACTGCGTCTGTGGGCCAAAAGAAGAGTATGTGCCAAATTTCACTAAATTAACTTGAAAATTGCGACCTGTATAGTGCGCACAATGTTTAAATAGACGGACATAGCTATATCGACTCAGGAAGTGATTCTGAGCCGATATATTTTATGATGGGTGTAGGATCAATATTTTTGGGTGTTACAAACATCAGCACAAACGCTATAGTGGTACAGGGTATAAACATGTTTATACCCACCATCAAGAAAATGGAGGTATAATGAAAACTTCTAAAACTATTTCTAGGGAATTATTAAATTCTAAAACGATATAGCCATGTTAATCCGTCTGTCTGTTATACACACGTTAGCGCCTGAACGAGAAAAATATCTTCATAAATTTTTATGAGGATCGGGAAATTGCATTAAGATCGAACATATTTCATTATATTCCCCATTTGAGGTCCCCTTAAAAAATTATTTTAACGAAATCGGTGTGAGTACAATTTTTTCTTATTATTCTTATTTTATTTAAATTAAATTTGGACAATCTATATCAGTTTCGTTTTCAAATCCTATGGTCTGTTTAAAAATTATTTAAGAAATAGTAAAACTTAATAATGTAACAATATCGATTACTCGAACTTCAAATGGACCCCCTATGTAATATTATTAGCCCAAGACAATAAGTTTGTTCAATAATGATTTGGCTCCAAAAAGAGTATAGAATTTATAATAATTTCCTTCAAATAATGTTAATTTCTTAACATTTTTCAAACAATTTATTTCCTAAGTATTAAAGTAAAATTTATAGAAAATATTGTAGAAACTTTAATGTTTATTTCAATTACTTTAAAGAAAATCTTATTTAGAGGCGAATAACGTTATTGTGTAATTTACTGTATGCAAGTTGTTATTTATTATTGACTTTTAATTATTTACAATATATATTTTTATAATATTTTAGTTTTTTTTTCTTTTCTTGGCTTCGTGGGGTGTTTATTTTTTTATTATCAAAGTGCAATTAAAATTTTTCCATTTAATTTAATCGCTCTTGTTTATTTTTACATTTTTATTTACAAAAATCATTTGTTGTTTAAAGTCAACAATAATAAAAAAATATATTTAAACAAATATGATCTATTGAGGCCGATCTTTTAATACCATACAGTTGGTAATTATACGAATCTTCATAAATCCTGAGAAATTTATGGGCATTAAAATAAATTTATTAGCTAGTGACCCTGATCTGTTACATATTGATCCTTAAATTTCTTATTGTCATATTTATGCGAAATTTTATTTTTAGATCTCTCTAAGTTGAACGTACAATATGATTAAAATAGATATCTTTTGAAGTACACAGAGGAAAAAAATATACACGCCCGGTACCAAATTGACACCAAATTTTTCAATAAAATCCGTTGTCAAGTATATACATACGTACAAAAACAACATGTCATGTAGACCATGCAACTTTGTCAACATTACAACAATTCGTTGTCGCAATCATAACTTTATGCACATCCGTTGTCTAAATGTTAACAAATGTGGTAAGCTAACTATTTATAACGCATTTTGAGCTTACCACGTTTGTTAACTTTTAAACAACGGATGTGCATAAGGCATAAATGGTGCCATATAAACTATGAACCTATTCATCTAATATTACCTTTCAAAATTTCGATCCATACCACCCATAATGATGTTATAGGGTATAAAATGCAATAAAATATAATTGCAACAAAAATATTGACAATCCACAAGAAATTAATCAAATATGCATAAATACTCGTACGATACGCCTAGATTAAATTTAAGAATGAAGTAGTTCAATGAGCCATTCTTTAAAGACGTCATTGCGTACTTGTAGCCCGAAGAAGGGGGGCTTGTCATTAAATGAAATAAATAAAAAATTCAAGTGTTTTAAGAATGAATAAATAGAATGTAGAGATAATTAAAACACTATAATATTGTTATTATTGTTTACGCATAAATATTTATTAGAAATTTTTGTTTATTTTATGCGTCATTAAAATTTGCCTATTTTAGTTGTTGTTGTTGTTTACAATAAAATTAAGTAAGGTTAAGATTTTTTTTAATTTGAAATTCAAACAATTTAAGAAACTTAAACCGTTACCAGCAAAACAATAAGTATTCTTATCTGTTATTTAAAGCATGGGAATATTTTCATTGCTGTATCTGAGTCAAATGCTGATCTCTTTCATCATGTTAATTATTTCTTATCAATTATTTTTTTGGTTAATTTTATTATTTTAATTATATTGTATGGAAACCTTTTCAATAAGATTCATCAGTTTCATTTTGGTTTGTTAAAAACGTGATGAATTCATGTCTAAAATTTCAGTTTTAACTTAATCCAGCCATTGACTGACGGACTTTTGTCGAGTTATTCTAATTTGACAAATTTAAATAATTATAATTTGTTATACACATTTTGGTCTAAAGTTGTTTATAAGATTTCGATTAATTTCAGTTTTAGTTTTTTTTTGTTTAAAAATAGAATAAATATGTTTATTAAACTCGTGCTAAAAAATCACTAACAAATTACAAACAGATTTTTTTCAAATTCTTATCAGTTGAAATTTGTGTACTTGTATATATATATACATATTTAGTAGTTATAGTAAAAACTACTTATATTGTAAATCAATTAAACGATCAACCGATCGATCGATCAATAATCTGAATTCATTTTCAATATATGGCTTTATACTTGAGAAAATATTAACAGTTTGAAATAAGTATTCAAAAGATTAAGACGTGCTAAGAAGATTATTTTTATAAAATAAATAATTTTATTTAATAATATTTAAATAATAAATATTTAAATTTGCAAAAAAACATGAATTCCAATAT